CATAGAGCCGTCTTAATACTTCAAAATTTCAATGACGAACACTGTTGAACTGTTTGAGTGGTGCTCGAGCGGGACGCTTTGGTAATCGCCACTTTTAGGTTAAATTTACAGGTGTGCTGAAAAGGGGAATTCTTTACTTTTGCCTGCTCTAACTTGACTTGAAGGCTAAATTGCTAAATACAACTTCAGTATATGTTCAATGGACAAGTGACAACGAGTGAAGGGCATTCTTGACTGTTGTTTGAGAAGTTCAAACAAAAAGTAACGAAAATTACTACGGTTTTTAAGCACATTGTTAAAATATTGCGCAGATTACCAAAAGATTTTTTTCCGGACATATGATTTGGTCTAGCACTGCACAAGTCGCTATATTTTTGAAGATTGCTTGTAATAATCAAATAGCAAATCTTTTTGTCATTTTTACTCCACACTGTAGAAACTTTTGTATTTAAAGTTCATATCAAGCGATTCGTAACACCTATTTCAGATTGTTGCGTAGCAAGTTTTTTTGAATGAAATTTTTTGATTTTTTTTTAGTAAGTTATGGTGTAGGCAACAGACATTTTACAGTGTGTCAGCACCTGTTTGCTTTCTTCATTTCCTTTTTTTCTGACTTTTTAATTATTAGTCTGCATTGCTTCCACTTAACCCCAAACTGCTTTCAAATGGACATTTTTCTATTAGTTTTCCCAGAATTTTCTAAAAAGTTCTTTTGCAAAGGCAAAAAGTATTTTATTTCAAGCAAAAATTTGTCTTTAAAATAATGCTGGTTTATTTCATCTTTTCATCAGCAATTATTTCAATAAGCGGTAATATCGACATTACTAAACAGAATTTCTTTCGCACTATATTTAAAAAAACACTGTCGTTGATAAGGTGGTTGTTTTCAACACATGTTTTTAATATTAATTGAACACTTTGACGACAGTAATCGGGTATTTCAAGCAGTAGTTATTTTTGCTATTTTTTGATAATCGATTTGGTTATGCGAATAGTTAAAGGAGGAACTTATTAACACAGACAGGCAATTTATTTTTTTTTTATTGAAATCAAATTTGTTTTTAATGCTGTTTTTGAATCGTGAGTTCACTACTATGCGTTCAAAAAAGGTTGAGCTTTCTCAGAACTTGACCTGGACAACCTGCCTTCATTTTGTTTTTGGTTCTTTCTGGAGTCTTGGAAGATTTTATTGATTTTCTAGCCAAAACTGTTTCGCTCTTTGGGAACATTTGACTAGATGTTTTTGTAATGCTGTTTTGCAAAAACCTGACTTTGTTTTTAATTTCTTATTGTATCAGTCTTCGTCTAGTTTTCTAGTATTATTATTTCTGTTGCTACAGTCGTTTCCTACATATCTAGCTTGTCACTCGAGTTTATAGTGTATATTATAGTTGGTGACCTCAAAATACAATCTATATCTTGAGAAATACCCAAAGTCTACTTGACAAAGGGAATACCGCATTAGACATGACAAAAATTTACCGGATTGTCAAACTTGATTCTTTATCAATTATAATTCATCTCCTATACAGTGCATTAGTTCAAGATGGAAGCCAAGATGAGAAAACTAATAAAACTAATTTAAGAAGTTTATTTGATTATTGAAAAGGCGTTAATTTATTGTATTTGAGGAACAGAACAAAACGAATTTTGTATGGCATCTGGTTACAAGAAAGTCTTCTCAGACTGTAAAATTTCTCACGTTTTTGAGGAAGTGATAACATATTAAAATAAGTATGGAAGGTTTGGTGAACGAGAGGAAAATACGAAATTTCTTTGGTTTTCCTTCTACGAATTCGATATTCTAGTATATATTATGAAGATAATAACAATTCTCAAAAGAAATAATAATTTGGTGTGTTTACCAATCATATTTCTATATTTGGAGATAAGAATTTGCCATTGTTTTTTGAGCAAATGGTACAGTTAGCAAATCAGCTCGAGTGAGAGTTATGAAAAGGCAGTTATCTTCTTGGACGAGGGCGGTTTAAAGATCTGCTTCATTTTATCAGTTTTGTCTCACAAGTAAGGCGAGCTCTTTTAGTCAGTATCATAAAACAGGTGTTAATTAAGGGTAAAAATTTTGTTTAGGATTGAAATGTATTCTTTTTTAAGTACGTAAGGAATAGGATATTCGACCTGGAGAGGCCTGCGCTTGTTGAATCTACATAACTTCAATTTATTCAGCTTCTTATTTTTCTAAATCTTTGACTAACGATTCGATGCTGACTTTTTTCTTTTGTCATTAACTTTATGAACATTTTTTCTACTTTAAGCTTGTTTATATAAAGATACCGTAAGTCCAATTTACTTAGCAGAAGACAGTGGCTGGAATTCAGAACATTCTCAAGGCTACTGTCTGCAATATAAAACCTTTTAGATCAAAATACTCTTGTTTTCTTGAAGGCTATCGGGCAGCTGGCGTACCTTATTGGTGTTTGACAGAGTCTGCCTGGGGACTCGACCACAGTTATAACTGTTGAAGAAAACTTCATGTTTTGTTTTTATTTGTTTCTTCAGAATAATGTATGGGGAAATAAAAAGAAATTAGAAGAGATTGAATTTTAAACAGTTTTTGAAGGAATAGGGATGATTAAAAAAGTAAAGTGTATTAGAAAAAAACAAGGATAAAAACATAAAGGATTGAACAATATTTTTGGGCAGAGACAAATGGACGGCGACTTAGTCTTTATTTATGATTAATTTTTCCTTTGTTATCTGTTATAATTTGTTCATCTGGATTTAGATATAAGTCTTTAATCAACAACATTTATATTTTAAGTAATGAATTGTTTCTCGGCTTGTTTTACCATCGTTCACTGATGCCAGTGTTCAAAAGACGGTGTTGGAGACAGAAGTTTTTTGAAAAAGTTTGTTGAAAAATTGATTCTGCTCAAATTTTTTTTTTTGAATTTACAGTTTTTTGCCGCTTTGGTCTGATTAAAATTCGCTGCTGTCAGTTTTCTAAAAATACGTCAAAGGTGTTTATAGCAGGATAGCTTTGAGGAACTGAATAACCTTTTTGAACAAATTTGGAAATTATTTTGCTAGTTTCAAACTTGCCGATACTTATTTTACTAAGCAGAATTATTCTTGAGTAGTTTTTTTTGTCATTTTTTTCTATTGGATATCACCAGCTTAGCTAAAATTACCCATCGTTTTTAGCATTTACCTATCTGCCTGCAAACAGAAGATTAAAATGATTTTATTTGATTTAACCAAAAGTTAAAACAATGTTCAGGCAAACTGATTGTTTATCATTATACGTTATGCAATTCATAACATTTTCAAGTGGATTATAATATTATTTCCTTGGAAAATTTTTGTCTTTTCAAAGTTTCTTGGACTGCAGATTTTACTGCAATTACATTTAAAATGACAGCATAAATACCGTCATTACGTTAACAGCATAAATTAAAGCCAATTTTTTGTATTAAAAGAAATCGGGAGCAAAATAAAAAGGCAACTGCACCGCTAAAAGCTTCTGATTAATACATTTTATACCAAATTTACGCCTTAAAGCAGTTGTCAAAGCATCAAAGACAAAATTAAGTCGAATTTTACCGTTTTGCTTATTTTTGAAACCAACAATAAAATTTTTATATTTACATCTCTCTAATCCCGCTGTGATGACAATACATGATAACGTTCCAATTAAATAGACACGTTGCATCATCACGGGTTATTCGTTCTATTTCCGTACCAGATGGATCACACATTCTTAGGCATCTGCTTCCTACCTGAATTATTTTGAAGTCTCAGTGACCGGATTAGTGAAATTACTGGTATGATTAAAAGGTTATCATAGCTTAAAAATCGAAATTTTTGATGTTGAAGTCGATAAACATTGGATTAATCGCAATTTTCTAATCTTCACAAGCTTAAAACAACTACGTGATCAAATTAGAAAAGTATAAAAGCAGTCAAGTTTTAAGAGAAAAGAAAGAGGAAGCAAAAATTGCTCTGAAAAATGTTATTTGAGAGAATGTTAAAGATAATTTAATGTGAAAAATGTGTGTCAACCTGAAGCTGAGGTGCGTTTATTTCCAAATCAGAGCAACACTGCCGGTTATCACGGTTCTGTGAAGCACAAAACAGAATTCCGGAAAGATAATTTAGATTGCATGAGCTGCGTTCAATGATGTCAGTTAGCTGAAAAAAGAAAATCTGTTAACTGACTTAATCATCATTAAATTTTATATTTAACTTGGAGAACGAGATCAACAAATTCTAACGAAATTATTAACAATTAATCATGGTTTCTTTTTTAAAATTTTTAGTTTTTAGCTATTTGGAATTCCAATCACTCATTTAGAAACAAATTTTTATTTTTTTTTTATTCTTCTAATAGTAACGGCAAATTTTCTGCTTATAGACTCTAAGCTCAAGTAACAAATTTTTTTGTAAGCTAGGAGAAAGTTATAATACCATTGCTCTACTTCTAGTTTGGTTAGTTTCGTATGTACACAAAGAATGACATTCTGGTGGGACATATAGTTCACAGCAAGCCAAGAACAATTTGTCTGCTGTTGTCCTGCTGGTACACGGCTCATACTTGGTTTCTGCAGTACCACATTTCGGCTGCAATTTAAACGATGTTGTAGCTTGATAAGTTTCGAAAAAGACCAACAAAAAAAAAAATTATTTTTGCACTAGTATATTTGTATAAAACTTTTTGTTTTGATAACCTACTTGATGTTCCTGAGCTGGTGGAGCACGTCGAATTTCGTGATCGCGACTCATTGTTCTTCTGAACAAAAACATTTTCCTTTCTGGACAGTTTTTAAGGACGTAATTTACACAATGTGGAGGAACACATTCAATAGTCCATCGAACATTACAACACTGGCTTCGAGAAACCCGGGGACAGTTCAACCTCTAGAAATTAAACTAATTTTGCCAAAGAACAATGGCCAACAGCAAAGAAACAAAAGAGTTCAAATAACTGTCACACAAAAAAGTGGTTAATATAAACAGTTTATTTTTGTTGATTAACCTTACAGTATTGGCTTTTGCAACAGCAACTAAAACTGTAGACAGCAGAAGTACTCGTAGCATTTTTTGGCAATGTCCAGAGTCCAATAAAAATTATAAGAATAAAATACTAGATAAAACAGAAAAAATCGACCTAAAACCTGAAACACTTCAATAAAAACAAAAAAAAAGTGATTTCAGTGAGGCAAATGAAAAGTTTTTGACATTTCTATTCCGATCTAATTCACCAAAAAATTGATCAGTTAAAATCCTACTGTTATCTTCAGATGATTATAATGAAACGTTCTCATCATTTTATGGTTGTTAGCGCTAATAAAAGAATAAAAATTGTCAAAGAAAATTACGATTGGTAAAGGTAGGCAATTTTAATAGTTTTTCTCTTCACTATCTATTTTTTTTTCATAACTCGTGAAAAGTGACTTTTACGTAAACTGTCTTCTTGCTCCTCTTTTCCATTTCCCCACTTCAATAATGACAATTCTAATGAAAAGTAAACGATACAGATTACTAATCAATGAAGATTAAATATCAAAGAGTTACCAGAAACATAGTAACCAAAATGACAGTCGCTTTTTGACTACCAATACCAGTATCTAAGCGACCAAATAAAACTACTTATAATGCTAAATTAGAGCAAAACAATAGAAGAAAGAAGTGTACAGTATCGATGGCAGAGCAGTAATAAAAATATTGAAGAAGACAAAGGTTTTTTTGCTGATACTGCTTAAACTACATTAGTTTTCTGTCCTGAAATACCGTAACTTCTGTTTAATGCTTATAACAAAGATTTTTTAGCTTCAAAAGCAATTTCTTTTGAAGATAAAGAATTGATAAAGAAGAAGCTGAACCAAAATAAGATCGATAAGCATAGAGATGAGCAATGTTTTATCAATGTTTTGTAGGCGACATTTTTTGAGAGATAGACTGACACAAATCCATTGCAGGTGTTTGAACCATTTTTGTTTAATAATGCATACAGATAATACCCACACACACAAACACACACACACACCACTAACACCCCAATTACAATGAGTGAATTTAAAAATTCAGATCAATGACAAGAGCCAAAAGAAAAAAATTTTTTCTCTTGTTATCTTCAATGAATGGTAATATACACCGCGGAAAAATCCATCTTGCAAAATGATGTCTGATGTAAATGACGATGGGTAATATTTTGAAAATAAAAAGAAAAAAAATTAGATTACGACATTGTTAAAAGAGAGCAGAAAAAAAAAAGAAAAAAGAAACGAAAAAAATTTATTAAGAAAAAAGTTAACAATAAAGAAAAAAAAATGGATGTATTTTTTCTCTCGTTTAAACAATTTTTTTTCATCTTTATTTTCTTTCTTTTTTTCTTTTTTTTTTTTTTTTTTTTTTTGAATACCCGGATAAAGC